GGAGTCGATGTGTTGCTAGACTCAAGGAGTAGACCTTTTTTAGGGGGCTCTCGTGGCCTAGAGGTTAAGGTGTTGGCCTCTCATTCAAAGGTCCCGGGTTCGATTCCGGGTAGCGACCAAAACATTTTCTTCTCTAAAATTGTCTCCTTTCACATCCTTTCCTGATCTCTAACAATGTTCTGTTGTCTGCTTTCATTTCCACTTTCTGCCGCCACCCCTCACCGCCTTTGCCCCCTCCTCTGGGCTCCTGACTCTGTCTGCAGCCTTTCTACTGCTACTCCTTGGCTCCTCCTAACTTCTGTCTTTCTGCCACACCCCTGATCTTCTGGTAGGAAAGATCTACACCTAGCCTTCTCGGACAAGGGCGAAAAATCTCGGAGGGCCCGTGTGCAAGTTGCGCACGTTAAAGATCCCTTGGTGGTCTAAAATGGATAAGAGTAGGCTTCGGCCGCCACCCGGGCAAAATTCAAAATTTCCTACCAACGAAAAAGTATTAGGTGTGTCCCGCGCGCTCATATGACCTTATGCAGTTGCGAGCGCCGTAAAACCCTATACTAAACAAACAACAAACATAGACTTTTTTATTGTACTCGCCATACTTCCTTCTCACTAAAAGTAAAAGAGATACATGTGCCAGTTTCAATATGTAAACATAGAGGGATTGATAGTGACTCTTTTCTATCTATCTTTAACGAACAACACAAAAGGAGAAGGGAAATCAGGCTACTTTTAGTTGAGAAAAGACAGGTGTATTCTATTCTATAGGAAATAGGCCGCAGTCAACAACCTCACTGAATCAATGTTGTTTTTAGAAAGTGTTGTGTTCATCGTCATCGAGTGTGTGTGTGTGTGTTTGTGTGTGTGTGTGTGTGTATGTGTGTGTATGTGTGTGTGTATGTGTGTGTGTGTGTGTATGTGTGTGTGTATGTGTGTGTATGTGTGTGTGTGTGTATGTGTGTGTGTGTGTGTGTGTGTGTGTGTGTGTATGTGTGTGTGTATGTGTGTGTGTATGTGTGTGTGTGTGTGTGTGTGTGTGTGTGTGTGTGTGTGTGTGTGTGTGTGTGTGTGTGTGTGTGTGTGTGTGTGTGCCTGACGACAAAAAGCTCCGCCGGAAGAGTAGTAAAAAAAGGTGAATTTATTTCAATTTGAAATCCAGATTCGTTAGTGTATGTGGAATTGTGTTTAAGTGTGTGTGTATGGTGGGGGGGGGCTGATAATACATTCTCTGCCAGACGGTGTCATTCTTTACAGTAAGTCTTTGAACAAAACACCAACACATGTGTCTTTTGGTCCAGAGACAAGTCCGAAAAAGCGTATACATAGTATTTCTCTTTACGAAATAGGCCAGTTTTATTCCCAAACTATAACTTATAACATTTTTTTAATACATAAACATGATAGAAAGAGTCCCAGCCGAATTCTCTGCTTAAAGATTGAAATCTTTGACTTGAAAGGCCTTATTGTGTCTTTTTGTGTCCTAAACTTTGACAGATGGTTGACTAAAAACGTCCAACGCGTGTAGTAACGCCCAATCTTCACATTACATTATTCTGTCCCCGTCGTTGTAAGCAAGAAAAATTCTGAAATTAAGCAAACTGGACCCAAAAATGCGAAATTATGTTATTCTGGGTATGTTTTTTTTAACAAAGAATGATAAAGGAAAATAATCAGAAATTATGCAAAAACGATCACATTTTGCTAAATTACGCGGGGTGCATAAAACCAAGGGGACAGATTATTATCTCTTACTACCAGTTCAGAGGTATACTGTGGTCAGTGAACTCACATCTTCAGAACTTGACCAGTCTTAGAGATGACCTTCGTGTCCTTTCCTCCTAACAAAAGTCAATGCCCTACAAGACCCTGGATTTAAAGGCATGGTGTGGTCAGTGAACTTCCGTCTTTACATCATGTCTTATCCTAGATAACCAGAGTGCCTTTTCCTCACAACAAAAGCCATTGCCCTGCAGAGCCCTAGTGACATAGGGCATAGTGGTCTGTGAACCCGTTCGTACTGAATATGTCCAGCTCAAGTCAAGATACAGCAGCACCTATGGGGGGGGGGGGTCTTGGGATGGGACACTTACTGCTGCTACTACTACATGTACTGCTACTGCTACAATTACTACTGATACTACTACTGATACTACTACTACTGATACTACTACTACCACCACTGCTACTAGTACTGCTACCACTGCTGCTGTTGCTTTTACTACTACTAGTAGTAGTACTACTACTGCTGCTACGACTACTACTACTATTACTACTACCACTACTACTACTGCTGCTGCTACTACTGCAACTACTGCTACTACTGCTGCTGCTGCTGCCACTACTACTACTGCTGCTGCTGTTGCTTTTACTACTACTACTACTACTACTACTACTACTACTACTACTACTACTACTACTACTACTACTACTACTACTACTACTACTAGTAGTAGTAGTAGTAGTAGTATGTACTACTACTGCTACTACTACTACTAAGAAGAAGAAGAAGAAGAAGAAGAAGAAGAAGAAGAAGAAGAAGAAGAAGAAGAAGAAGAAGAAGAAGAAGAAGAAGAAGAAGAGGAAGAGGAAGAAGAAGAAGAAGAAGAAGAAGAAGAAGACGAAGAAGAAGAAGATAACATAAATGATACCTCCAGTAACTGGGATCAAAGGGTAAAATAACGTATTTTAAACGTTCCCTCTCAAATTTTGTTCCCCGTAGTTTCGAAAACCTGTCTGCCCTTATCTTTGTGAGGGAAACTTGCTGTGCACTCACCTCTCTTTCCATTCTGTTGGTAAATATCAAGACAGTGAGAAAAGATACTGCCTGGCATCTTGTAATGCTATGGTTAGTTAAGTCTAGTAAGATTTTTGTGGTGCTCACAAATTATTGTTCTACGTAAGGTTATTGTTATGAAGGAGCGCATTGGACACAAGTTGGTTGTTTTCAAGTTAGTTCACAGTTTGTTTTTACTTTATGCTACTGTTGAAGGCAACAATCAACGCTGGATATGGGTCAGTGATCAACTTGCCCAGTGGGATAAAAAAAGAAGTCTTTAATTGCAGCGGGTCCTTCTGCTCCAATTTCATTGCCGAACAACAGGCTATCACCAACACATCAAACTACACCAACTACTTGTTTGACGCTAACCCTCTTGCTACCACAGACATCGTTATCTTTACAGACAGCCTTTCAACACTAGAGACACTTGAGAGTGGGACTGATGTGAGCAAAGATATATTGCACTAGATTTGGAGTCTTATAATTTGATAAGTAGGCACCACGTCAGAGTAGTCCTACAATGGATTCCTGCCCACACTGGGATACCGGGAAATGAAAGAGCTGATGTTCTGGCAAAGAAAGGAGCTAGCCTCCCTCAGCCTGAAATTCCTACGAATTACACCACCTGCTGCCAAATGATCAAGTCAAACCTCAAGGAAGAGTGGACGAATGATTGGGCCACAGGTACGACAGGAAGGATGATGTATGGCCACATGAATAAACCACTGGTCAAAGATCCAATCAATGGGTTGAGGAGGGGAGATCAATCCATAATCTTCCAACTTAGAACACAACATGTACCCCTCAACCAACATCTCAACCGAATTGGAGTAAAGCAGTCTGCTGCCTGCCCACTATGTGACTACCCCTCAGAGACAGTGGAACATCATCTGTTCTTCTGTAGAAAACTAACTGATTTAAGGGGATGTATTCTTCCCACGCTACCCCACACATCTAATTGCCTCTACTCCTCAAGACAACAGTTAGAACAGACATGCAGCTATTACCGAATGGCATCATGCAGAAGAGTTAACGCTCAGATGCTACTGGATCACTAACAACAACAACAGCCACATGTATATGAAAATAGAGGGGAAATAATGACCTATCTCAACATGTTTCTCAAAACAATAATTCTTCAGCCTGATATTTCAGATTCGATTATTACAAAAGTAGATGTGGTTTTTAATTAAGCAGGAAGTAGTGAGCCGTGAGACACAGCTCGTGGTCCAGCCCTGTGAAAAATGGCTCACGGTAATGAAAGAGTTAAAATGAACATAAAACGTGCAGAGCAAAAAAGAAAACTCGCAAAAATTGCCAAATGACTATAAAAAAGCAGATTTCTTTGATTTCATTATTTTGACAAGGTCCTGACTTCACCACCATGCCTTACTATATTATAGGGTAAACCGATCTAGCCAAATTTCTTGAACAGATAGAAATGGGGAAACGTTCCATTGTACAACCTCTCTAAACTTGCTGAGTGAAGTATGAGACACTGTAAATAGTCAATATATTGTAGTCTATGGTAATAAATTGGTATAACAGTTGGGCGCTTAACTGTCGCATGAACGAGACCTGAGTTTAGTTTAGTTTTAGTAGAGGTTTTACAGTGCTTGCAACTGCATACAGTCAAATGAGCACCAAGGGGTGGATGTCAACAGAGAAGTCCTTACAGGGAATCAGACTTACTCTGCTCACCTCTCTAGCTTCGACAACACAAAGTCTGCTCGACTATCAAGGCACCCCGGAAACAGCGGGTCAAAAGAGTGTGACAAACATACAAAAGAAGTAGAAGAAAAAATGACGATAGTAAGCATTAGGCCAAGGAAAGAAAAAGCAGCAGTTCTCTGTTGCAGGTCAGGCATAGTCATGTGCATGACATTGATGAATCAGCCCATTTGCAATTACAATTCTACTGTGTATAATAACTGGAGATGTTAATGTCCCCCCCCCCTCCCCCATTTGGGAATGAGACCCAAGTTTGATTCCCAAGTATGGAGCATTTTTATTTCAATCGAGTATCTTGGTCTTTTTGATGGGATATTATACTCCTCTTAGCCCGGGTTGGACCTAACAGGCAGGGTTGGAACCCAGGTACCTAAATGATCAAAATTAGGTTGCCGGGGTGTAAAAAAAACCTGCATAAAAAAGATTTATTAAGTTTAAAAATAAGGCAGATCTGCAAACCAAGACTTAAGAACATGATAAAAACGTTGGAATCAAACATCTACCAAGTATGGAATTACTGCAATCTTGATTTTAATTATCGGTTCAAGAGCCTTATATATCCATTGGCGTACATTTTTTTCAAAACATATTTGATCTATAAAAATGAAGAATACAAGTACCACGTAGACTTTTGAAAATATATGATCATAAATACATACATCAAGTTAAAACATCAATAATACAGTATTTAACATATTTTTGATAGTATCAAAAAGTATTTTAGATGTACACGTAAAAGGGATGAGGTCAAGATGGAACTCTTTTCCATCTTTTCAGATTCATAAAATGGACACAACCAATAAAATCAATTGTAAAAAACAAAAATTTACAATTCTCAAATATTCCTCTTAATTAACTCTTTTAGTGCATGGGGTTTAGATCAGTCCGTTGAGGTTCCTCTTTTGACTAAATTTTTATCAAGGGTGTTACACAAAAAAAGTATCTTATCTAGATCAGACATATCAGGGAATAAGTACACAGATGGGGCTTTCACTTTCAGGACATGACGAATTATGGAAATCTCGAACATGATTTCCAATCCCCAAAAAATTCGAGTTACCCGTGTTTGTGAATGTATCATACACTAAAATACTACAAAATTAATCAATTTTTATAAAACATGTTTTTGGTCAGCAAAATATCTTTATACATGTATTAAATTATATTTCATGTTCCGAAATCATATGCAGCCAGGAAATGTTTTCTTCACAAAAAAATGTGTTCAAATATCCCAAAATATAGAATAAATCATATTGAATCTTTTTCTTCCCCAAAATACATAAATAATCTAACAAGCTATGAATTATATCTAGTGGCATTATCTAACCCGTTCAAAAGTAGCCTTTGAAAATTTGAAGAGAAAAGACCAAAAAAACGAAATAACACCCATTTATCTAAACAACAGTCTACACCCTTATGTTTTTAAATTACATCCCAGCATGGAATGAGCCTCACACTGTGTCCTTGAAATCATGGACGCGATATAATGTGAATACCTAGTTCTTGCCCCTTGGCAAAAGTGTAGCTGATGTGGGAGAAATCAGAATTCAACTCTTCGTGAGGGTGGACTACATCTTTGCATTATATCGCATCCAATATTTCTTCAATGATATAGTGTGCAGCTTTGAGCACTTATTATTATATTGGGACATACTGGGTGATGCATCCAGCAGCTTTGAGCATTTATTGAGTTAATCACCACAAGAGATTGCATAATAATTTATGTATCTATAATATGTATCTCAATAACCAAGAAAATGATACATTAATGAACATTGAGAACAAAAGAAGAAAAAAAAAAGACACATGATTTAATGATAGCACAAAAAAGAAATTAAAAAGGTGTCACTCTTCAACAATACCATGAGAGTGAACTATGGGTACATTTTTTTGTTTGTTTTATGTTTGAGTAAGCATTTGACAGCACTTGCAGTACAAGTAGGTCATATAAGCGCCGAAGATGAGAGGTGTTACAAGAGATTAACAAACTCAAAAAAGGAGAGATAAAGATGACAAATGTTTGATAGGAAAGGAGCAAACCCCACCAGAGCACCGCCAACCACCTATGTATACATTTTTTGTCACACACATACGCTGAACAAAAATAGTGCATATTCTCACCTCATAAATCTCATACGCGCTCAATCATACAAATAATAGTCATCTTCACTCAAACTAACTAAAATATTAGAACCGTAACCTCTCAAACACATGTTTATAAAACCATACCTTCACAAATACACATAATAAAGGGATAGCAATACATTCACAGGAGCCGAAACAGTTACTGATTGGAATATAGGTTTATACCTACTCACACAAACTGATAACAAAAAGTTTACCAGAAAAAATTGAGCTTTCCTTTTTAAAAAAAAAATATATACGTAATAATTATTACTTCTTCAAAGCTATTATCAACCCTTGCACTGTTGGGTAACTTAAAATTATTTTGTTTCTGCTTGGTGAAAAAAGATTTCTTTGTAATGGCTGACATAAACAAAGCCAAAGGTATGCCCAGATGTTTCTGGAAAGAAGGGCTATGATTGGATTAAGGGATATCACATATTTTACCCCTGAAAACTGGAAGGCAAACTTTGCATTTTGAAATAAAGAAAAAAAACACAACCCCAAAATTTGGATCCTTTACAACAGGTTTGAGCACATTTTGCAACGAACACAATACTGTATTTGATAAAGTCTGTGAAAGGCTAGTTATCATGGGGAAAACTCTTTAATCTTTACGAATTCAGCATGTAATACATTTTTCCATGGATCCCTTCATAGATTAAATAATGTATTTGTCAATCTATCTCTTTATCCCCATTCCTCTCTCTTTTTCCTTCCTTGTCTACTCTGGCTCGTTTTTTCCCGTTTATATTGTATCCACTCCGCTTTTCTCTTCTCTTACTCTTCCTCCTTCAATATTTTCACACTGCCCCTTCTCCTTCATCCTGTTTATCTATCAGTGTGTGTCTCTCTCTCACAAATATTATCTGGTTTCATCTTTCTGCTTTCTTACTAAACCCCCACTCTTTATCTCTCTCCCTTCCTTCTCTTTCCTTCTGTCACTCTCTCAAATCTGTATTGTGCTGTAATAAGTAATTAATGAGGTCAAGAGAAAAACACACAAGAACACACCCAAACAAACTACTCTCTCAATCTCTCAAAATGTACACTATTATTACAATAACTTCCATGGATACAAAAATTGACTTCTTCGGTGGTTGCATGACATGCAACAGATAAAAATGCTGCCACATTGATAGAAACATAACTACTAATGCCAGTTAAATTCTTTCGAATCAAGGATAAAAGAACAAACAACCAAAAAAAAAATACTCACCTCTCAGACAACTCCACAGATTTTAGCTATGATGACAAAGAAAAAAAAAAAATGCTAAAACAACAACAATTTCCAATACTCATGATATGCCAACATTCAAACAGTTTACATTCGTCATTTTAATATGTACAGTATAAAAGCTTTCAAACCCCCTGTTCAGAAGGCGAAAACATTGTTCAATCCAAGTCTGGAGTGCTGTATTATAGAAGACCACCGGAACATTTTCAAGAAAGGAGCCCAAATCGGAAGAGCAACTCATGCTATGGAATGGAAGGTGTATTCTTTTGCTATCCTTTCACTTTCAAGCAGGAATTTGCATGCTGCGTCATCGGTTGCCTGTTGAACAGAAAAGATGGGAGTCAGTGAGATTAGTTACAAAGTTTACTATCAGCAATACACACACAACCGCCCCCCAAAAAACAAGGGATTTCAGGTATCTATAGAAGCATCCTGACACTGAATTCCTATCTCAGAGAAAAGATATTAATAAAAACACCCCCCTTCTCTCTTTCTCTCTCATACACTCACACTAACCGTACCCAAGAGCACACAGTGATTAATGTCATGAATAAATATTGCTCTGTAACATTTCCTGTTGCCACCATTTTTACCATAGCAGTCTACTAAAATCAAAATTGTGAGCCAGGTAAAAAGTTTTGTTATATCCCTTGACTTTGTGGTCCTGGCAAAAAAGTTGGAGCTTCGGATAAGTTAATCTTTTTTTCAGTCCCCTAACAACATCAACTCATCCATGATTGTCTGGATGTCAAATACAGGACTGAACAGAAGTAGGTATTGGGTAAGTACCACATTGTTATGACAATTCATTAAAATTATTAGAGGAATGTATGAACAACAATGGCAAGTAGTTCGAGTAGAGTATTTGAGAAATGAAGGCTGTGCTTGATATTACAAGTATATTATCAATTCTTATTCGTTTGTATTTGTATCATAAACACAGTAAAAGTAAAGAACCCATATTCTTTTTCTAGAAATAAGCATACCTTGTTTTCGAGACAGTGAAACATAACAGTCAGAAATAAAATAAGCACTACCAAGTGATGTCAGGCACTTTAACTACATGCCCATATCATGAGTTCAGCATTTTTAGTTTTACTAAAGAATTTTCCGGCACTTGCATACTTGCAACACAATTTGGTAATACATAAGTGCTCAAGATTAGGTTTTACTAAAGAATTTTCCGGCACTTGCATACTTGCAACACAATTTGGTCATACATTTTAAGTGCTCAAGATTAGGGGTGTTACTAGATATTTTAAAAAAAGGAGGAGAGCAATAAGGACAATAGACGCTCGGATGGAAAGGAGAAGCAAACTATATCAGAGCACCTACCAGCCAACAACCCAGTTTATGTGATGCAGCGTGGTGAAATCAGGCGCTCGTCAAAATCATGAAATTGAAGAAAATGGCATTTTTCCGCTGGTTTGGCAATTTTTATTGAATTTTTGTTTTTTGATTCAACGCCTTTAAGGGGAAATTAAAATATATTTACGTGTGGATTTTACTGAAAAGCGTTGATTTAAGGCACAAAAAATGTAAATTTGCAGTTTACAAGGACTGTCAAGCTTTGGAAGAGTCACCAGATTTGGAAGCCATTTTCTCGCTAATTTTACCCTGAATCAGGTGACCTCCACCTCCTTCACTCACTAATATCTTGACTTCTATTCTCGATAGATGCGTACTTTTTCCACACAAAGGAAGACAAATGAATAAGCTTTAAGGTGATACCAATAACTCCTCAAGCCCAAAAACTGACAAGTGCCTGATTCCACTGCATCATGACACATATTTTTATGTTGCTGTCTACTTACCCTCCTTTAAAGGTGTCTTTGGGGGCACCTTAACCTTTTTCCCATCCATCACTTTCCCAGTGGTGCCTTCCAGCCTGTCCAACCTTTCCTTGTACTTCTTCACCAGGGCATTCTGTCTGCACAGCTCCTCTTGAGTTTCATGGCACCTCTGAGCATGTATTCACATTTATTAACATAAGAAATTTCGGCATTCATCATTTTAAAAATTGCTAAAGTGTCTGTAAAAAAATAATAAACGTAGACAGCAAGATATAACTGGAACTGAAATTTTTCACTAAATGTTCATGGCATCATTATTTTCAAACTGGGGGCAAAGAAAAAAAGAGCAGAGTGAGTGTGTGTGTGTGCATGTAAGAAAGAGTGTGTGAGTGTGAGTGTGTGGGTGTGTGTGTGTGTGTGTGTGTGTGTGTGT